ACAGCAAACTTCTACTCACTACTTTTATTGCACCAGGCCATTTAAAATCTTACAGTTTGACCACACTTGTTACATGTGCACTAATAAAAGAAAGAAACGAAAGAAAGTTCTTTCAAACATCACTTTAGAAGTCCTATTAGCAGTTTTTAAGGCGGCCAAGTCAGAACAGATCGAAGAACATGTATAACTGTAGATTCATATTGCAAAGGCATACAAAAAGCAACAAGTATATTTATTTAACAAACTATTTTTAGAACACACTAAAAATTATATTTTAAAAAAATACAGCTAATAAGATATAGTATATCATAAATAAAATTTCTTTGAAAGTTTAGAATTTTAGCATATATCTGATTGGTGGGGCTAAATAAAAATTAACTTTGTATATAGCAATCACATCAAATCCAAAGTTTTTACTTATTCTTAAAATCGAATGAACACTGTTTATACCATATTGAAAAGGCAAGATCTCTATTTCATTAATGAGGTATTTGATAAATGAAGCCAAAAAGTCTACACTGTACCTTTGCTATACATGTATAAGATCATTGCAACCTATTTAACAGAAAAAAATTCTCTTATTATTGCTAAATAGCACATATTCTGATTTAACACATATATATTTGTTCAAATCACTATTCTTTTTTAATTACAAGTAAGTCATAACGAGAAATGTAAGATTAGCATATTAATTAGACTTACTGATTTTGATATTTAATACAATAAATGCATCTATGATACAAGCATGATAACAGGTAATTATATAAGGAAACAATACTAGGTTTAGACAACAATGTTTATGTGCTTCAAGTAACCTGTATGATGATCAACAGAAACATACAATTTGATATATCTTTCAGAAACTTTGACTTTTTCTTTATTCTTTTAAGTGACTCTATTCTGTTATCTCGTTTACATTTAATACAATATTTAAACAATATATATACAATCATTTATACATTTCAATAGATTTACAATGATAATAATTGGCCTTAAATATTTTCATTAATTAACATTACCTTATACACTGTGATTAAGATAACTTGTCAGGCAAGCTTACATACACCCACAATGGTGTACAATGGATTTACACAGTCTGCTTAAGAATAAAATGTGGATAAGTCATTAGAAACACAAAATATTCAATTTAATTTAACTCCGAACAAAGCAGGGTCCTACCTGTTAAAAGCCACCAAAATGGCATAAAATAAAATTCAACTTTTTGATTTAGATACGACATAATATAACCTGATACTACTAATGATTGATATATACTTCCTTATGTGAAAAGTTCATTAGCTGCTACCAATGTTTCGTCAAAATGATGTATTGGATTACCGGTTTTGTTTTGCGCTTCTGACCGTTAGTACTTGGTTTATTTATAATAATATATCACTTGTACTCTATTTTTAAATTGCACCAGAATAATCCCATTATAGATGAAATAAATAATAAAATCAAAATATTTTGGCAAATCTTGCTGTACCATCATTATAATTATCAAACAAGTTTAAGAGAGGTACTTTTAGAGTTCATTGCAGTTTCCACATCAATAATTCTATCATGATGTCCATGTACTGAGTACGGTAGATGTGAATATATATGGTGTAATGGAGGAAAAGCATGAAAATACACACAGCTTGACACTACCAATCCTAATATAAGTCCAACAGATACATCTGAAATGAGAAAGCAAAATAACTGCATCCAAAAGCAACAGACTTTGAGTTGATTGACATGATTTTAATAGCAATGTTTTTGCTTTGTTAAAATATATTATTATTACTTCAACAATGTGATCAGAGTAAAATACTGAAATGTGGCTTATTGAAAATATTTTTGAGGTGTCAAGGATCTGAGGCTACAGTTGGGATCAAAATATGCACCAGTCCCTTTGTGAAAACTTAGGTAACTGCACATAAATTTTCAACCTGTACAGGGCGGAGGTACCTCAGCTATGAGACATTTGGTGCATAATAAAACGTCTATGGTTTGATACCTTTGAAATTCAACTTGCTTCCATTGATGTCATGGGCAAGAGCTGACAGTAAAAGGGCCTAGATAGTTAAATGGTAGAAATACCCAGGTTCTATGACTGGACTGAAAAATAATGCAACTGTCCTGACAAAATTCTTCTCATTACTCACAATCATTCCTTGTTTGCCTTCTTAAGCCAAATATAGTACAGGAGACTAAATCACTGTCACTGTATTGATGAACTGATCTACACAAATAATATACAACATTAACTTACCCTGCCAATGGTGATGATAGTCTGCTGTTCTAGATATTGCTATTAATATTGCCCACAGAAAAAATGCCACCACAGTCAGTAAATGCCATGATGATGTCTGACCTTTTGAACTGAACACTCTAAATTTGCCAGCCACATAAAAACCAATATAGCCTAAACAAACCATTGCATCTATAGAAAAACAATTATTTTATTATCATATATTTAGCATAAAAACAAATAAGATTCTACATACCAGCTAGTCTCATATGAGGTCAGATGAAATTTTCTTCCATCCATAGGTTTCCAAACCAGCAGAATACTTTCAGAAAAAATATCATTGACCTGACCCAAATAACTTCTTGTCAAGAGTCTCCTATCCTCCCATTCCCTCTCCTTGTCCTGATATCCTGCTCTCACATGAAGGGACAGAGCTAGTTTATGGAGGCCACAATACAAAATTATTATTTATAATTTATATCTTACAACTAAGATATAATGACAAGTTTGATGACAAAAATAAAATATTACTAGCTCATTGGTTTTCAAACTTGAGAAAACTCACGTGAAGAATGTCCACTTGGAAAACTTTTTAATCCTTCAAAAACATCTTTATCAGTCCCTTTACAATCAGTTTTTGTGTTCAACACATTATTAAAATTTAACATATCTTCATTTGGAAAACATCTTTGTAGAAAATCTGGACGAGGTCTAAAAAATTTAAGAGGTAAATATATCATTTGTAATGTTGTTGGTTCATTGTAAATATGCAATAAAATATTGTACCTTATGAAATAGTAGCGAATTTCTTTATTTATAAGAAGTTTCTTACCTTCCAACAGCAAGTTTTATAATGTTTGTTATCAAGCCACACAAACCAAATACTAAATACATTCCTAACACAGACTGTACTAAATCCTCAAAATCATTTGTAATCAGATAAAATAGACCAAAAACTATCACAGGCACCAATATTACAGTTACCTACAAAACATAACATCAATCTTATAGTGGCCTACAAAATATAACATCAATATAATAGTATTGTAGCCTGCAAAATATAACATCAATATAATAGTATAGTAGCCTGCAAAATATAACATCAATATTATAGTATAGTAGCCTACAAAATATAACATCAACATAATAGTATAGTAGCCTACAAAATATAACCTTAATATAATAGTATAGTAGCCTGCAAAATATAACATCAATATAATAGTATAGTAGCCTACAAAATATAACATCAATATAATAGTATAGTAGCCTACAAAATATAACATCAATATTATAGTGGCCTACAAAATATAACATCAATATAATAGTATAGTAGCCTGCAAAATATAACATCAATATAATAGTATAGTAGCTTGCAAAATATAACATCAATATTATAGTATAGTAGCCTACAAAATATAACATCAACATAATAGTATAGTAGCCTACAAAATATAACCTTAATATAATAGTATAGTAGCCTGCAAAATATAACATCAATATAATAGTATAGTAGCCTACAAAATATAACATCAATATAATAGTATAGTAGCCTACAAAATATAACATCAATATAATAGTATAGTAGCCTACAAAATATAACATCAATATTATAGTATAGTAGCCAGCAAAATATAACATCAATATAATAGTATAGTAGCCTACAAAATATAACATCAATATAATAGTATAGTAGCCAGCAAAATATAACATCAATATTATAGTATAGTAGCCTACAAAATATAACATCAATATAATAGTATAGTAGCCTACAAAATATAACATCAATATTATAGTATAGTAGCCAGCAAAATATAACATCAATATAATAGTATAGTAGCCTACAAAATATAACATCAATATTATAGTATAGTAGCCTACAAAATATAACATCAACATAATAGTATAGTAGCCTGCAAAATATAACATCAATATAATAGTATAGTAGCCTACAAAATATAACATCAATATAATAGTATAGTAGCCTGCAAAAGATAACATTAATATAATAGTATAGTAGCCTACAAAATATAACATCAACATAATAGTATAGTAGCCTATAAAATATAACATCAATATAATAGTATAGTAGCCTACAAAATATAACATCAATATAATTGTATAGTAGCTGCAAAATATAACCTTAATATAATAGTATAGTAGCCTACAAAATATAACATCAATATAATAGTACAGTAGCCTTCAAAATATAACATCAATATAATAGTATAGTAGTCTACAAAATATAACATCAATATAATTGTATAGTAGCCTACAAAATATAACATCAATATTATAGTATAGTAGCCTAGCAAAATATAACCTTAATATAATAGTATAGTAGCCTGCAAAATATAACCTTAATATAATTGTTTAGTAGCCTACAAAATATAACATCAATATAATAGCATAGTAGCCTACAAAATATAACATCAATATAATAGTATAGTAGCCTACAAAATATAACATCAATATAATAGTATAGTAGCCTACGAAATATAACATCAATATAATAGTATAGTAGCCTACAAAATATAACATCAATATAATAGTATAGTAGCCTACAAAATATAACATCAATATCATAGTATAGTAGCCTACAAAATATAACATCAATATAATAGTATAGTAGCCTACAAAATATAACATCAATATAATAGTATAGTAGCCTACAAAATATAACATCAATATAATAGTATAGTAGCCTACAAAATATAACATCAATATAATAGTATAGTAGCCTACAAAATATAACATCAATATCATAGTATAGTAGCCTTCAAAATATAACCTTAATATAATTGTTTAGTAGCCTTCAAAATATAACATCAATATAATAGTATAGTAGCCTACAAAATATAACATTAATATAATAGTATAGTAGCCTACAAAATATAACATCAATATAATAGTATAGTAGCCTACAAAATATAACATCAATATAATAGTATAGTAGCCTGCAAAATATAACATCAACATAATAGTATAGTAGCCTACAAAATATAACATCAATATAATAGTATAGTAGCCTACAAAATATAACATCAATATAATAGTATAGTAGCCTACAAAATATAACATCAATATAATAGTATAGTAGCCTACAAAATATAACATCAATATAATAGTATAGTAGCCTACAAAATATAACATCAATATAATAGTATAGTAGCCTGCAAAATATAACCTTAATATAATTGTTTAGTAGCCTTCAAAATATAACATCAATATAATAGTATAGTAGCCTACAAAATATAACATCAATATAATAGTATAGTAGCCTACAAAATATAACCTTAATATAATAGTATAGTAGCCTGCAAAATATAACCTTAATATAATTGTTTAGTAGCCTACAAAATATAACATCAATATAATAGTATAGTAGCCTGCAAAATATAACCTTACTATAATAGTATAGTAGCCTGCAAAATATAACATTAATATAATAGTATAGTAGCCTACAAAATATAACATCAACATAATAGTATAGTAGCCTACAAAATATAACATCAATATAATAGTATAGTAGCCTACAAAATATAACATCAATATAATAGTATAGTAGCCTACAAAATATAACATCAATATAATAGTATAGTAGCCTACAAAATATAACCTTAATATAATAGTATAGTAGCCTGCAAAATATAACATTAATATAATAGTATAGTAGCCTACAAAATATAACATCAATATAATAGTATAGTAGCCTGCAAAATATAACATTAATATAATAGTATAGTAGCCTGCAAAATATAACATTAATATAATAGTATAGTAGCCTACAAAATATAACATCAATATAATACCATAGTAGCTTATAATGCCCTTGTTCCCGAGCTAGAGTGTTTTCACCCCATGGGGGTATGGGACTAGGGTGTCAGGGGTGGATTTATTTTGAGTTGAGAGAGCACCTCACATCATCACATGCTGAAATTGTGAATGAAACAAATTTTTGTGGTGTGAAAGGTACATGTGATTGCTCCAGGGGTGTGAAAGGTGAAACAGGTTGGGAACCACTGTTATAATGTAACATCAATATAATGTTTTTTACTATATATATTATTATACTTGAATTTATTATTCAGAACTTACATATAAAGTTTCAACTGTGTAATAACTTGGCGTTTTAGGAAATCTGTACAGCCATAACTCTTCTGGTTGAATTGCTCTATGGAATGGTTCTAATTCATCTGTGACTCTGAAAATAGATTCCAAATATATATAATACGGAAGTTTTAGACTCTTTTAATTTCTTATGCATCAAATATATTATACAGTATGAATTCTTCAGACTTTTTTTTAGACCTTATATTTCTTGTATATGACTAGAAAAGATAAAAGAACAAATTTATCTGGGCACTTAGTTCATATCAGCAAATGAGCTAATGATTGTATTAAAGGAGGTAAAACTCAAAAATGGCAATTTTACTTACAGGAATGCTACATGAAGAATGACTCTTAATATTACTTCTGATATCAGACGTTGATAGTCTTGAGATAATTTATGACGACCTTGAAGACAATAAAAGCAAAACATAAAATTGAGATTGGCAGAGAATGATTTAAAATTGTTAGGGCTGCTACGATTCACCGATAAATCGATGAACCATGATTCTTTCCTTCTTATCGATGCATTGCATTGGATACAAATAATCAGTCAAACAGTCAAAGTTCAGAAAGATCTGATGTCCATGATGTTCAGCAGTTGGCAAGAGAGAAGAGTTTATTCAAAACAATTCCATTTTCTAGTGTTCATTGGAGGGAAGTGATTTAATTTTAATACAAAATCATCAACCTGAAAATTTAATTTTGAATATTAGTGAAATAATAGTAAAATTCAATTCTTTGACTATGTAGCCTACTCTCTGACCACATTAAGTTCTAAATTGAATTTTTTCTCTCATGTCACAAATATTCAAAATATGGTTTTCTAGTTCATACCAATTGTCTTAGAATGCCTTTGAGGTCCATGAATATATGTTTTGAAAAATTTGCACTTAAAATGAACACACTTTTCTCCAAGAAATTTCATGTGAAAATGACACACATTTTGAACTGAAAATCTCCCTATGTAAAATCATAGTTTCAAATAGTTTTGTTTTCAATGGTTGGCATTTTCATCAACCCAAAGACAATCAAAGAGTCTCAGCAATATTTAGAGATTAATATTTCAATTCATAAAAAATGTAATTTAGAACTTGATGTGGCCTGCCGATAGAATTGATATTTACAGGCATACACAACTGATTTGCAAAATGCACATCTGTGAACATTGTCACTCTATTCTATGCGGTGGTTCAACTGTCTGGGCTTAAGTTGTGTTGTTTCTGTGAGGAGAGGAAAAGAAGGGCTACCGGTATATATATTATAATAGCATGTGGGTTAAAAAGATGACACAATATTGAAAATTCAATAAATAACAACAGTAAACCTACTCATTCTATGATCAACTTGTTATTATGATAAATATCTACTTTTATAATTTTATAATGCCTTAGCCACTAGCATAGTTCTAATAAATATACATCTTAGAGGTGAAGTGATAAAGTTCTATTTTTGATCAAAGGGAGGTAATGTTAAAAAAAAAAACACGTTGACAGATGAACTAAAAACGATAAATCCAATAACGTTTTGTATCTTTTTTAAACAACTAATCATGCTGTATACATGATTAGAATGCATAAAATTTGAGAAATTGATAGGCTATGTAAAATGTAAAGTGTATTATAGGATATTCATAGGACGATTAGTTAATGCTAGAAATAATTATTTCATTAAACATTTATCGACTTGTTCGGTCATACAAAATAAAGATGGCCGAATAAGAAAGAAAACACAAATTCGACTTCGTCTGGCTGAGTTGACAAATAAGATGAAGTTATTCCCGAAGACTGTAACAGGCCCACTACATGCTCAAAATAAAAATGCTTGTGACTGGTTTGTAATGATAGAACGTTTTATTATGAATATTCATGAAATGAGAGAAAAAACTCAATTCAAAGCTCAATAGGCCTATACTATAGTCAGTACATAATACAGTGGTGTAACCTATTTTCGTGGATATAAGGATTCAACACCAAATTTCGTCAAAATTAAAAAAACCAAATTTTTTTTTTGATGTCTTAGATGTTTCCTCAGATATTCTACAAAATAATTAAAATTGGTTTATTTCGATTTTCTTTATGAATCCTTCACTTTGACCCATATTTCATGAGCAACCAACTTGGCAACGGCGGCAGAATGCGTCACTTATTTTCATGTACAATGTTTGATCTATAAATAAGTCTAGAAAAACACGTTGTATGGATACCGGGTGGTATAATTAAATTCTCTTAGTATTATTTTTAATATCAATTCATTATAACTAGTGACAATTCCTTCAAAGAACCACGATTTAAAAAAAAAATAGTGACTGACAAAATAGATACGTAGCGTGTTTTATTGCTAAAAGTCACTGAAACAACATAAGAATATGGTCCACTTTGTGTTCCATAGAAATTTTCTGCTGACACAGAATCCGTATTCAGGTAGTATTAACCCTATGTATGCCTGTGCCTGTGCTTTCGTAACATCTCATAACCTTAATGTTACAACCCACAAAATCTATAGTCTACTTGTATTCTAATGATGTTACTGTTGGATTTATGCTAAGAACAACATATCAACACTAATGTCCATCAATGTCAACAGCTAGTTATGCTTATTTATCACAAAAGTTTGATCAATCTTCAAGTACTGGGAAAATATGAAATATTGTATTACTGTCACTGTAGGTATTTTGCATCGGTAGAAATGTGATCATGAGCACACGTTATCAGCTGAAATTTGACATAATTTTCAGCCAAAGTGGGCACTTATGGTTTAAATTAATAGGAAAGAGATGTGTTTCTGTCTAATGTAAACTATATAAACATTTTTTTTTTTATCTTAGCAAAGTTATTCTGAGACTAATAGTACTTTTTTTCAGCTGAGGTCCAAGTTCACTTGGCAAAATTGGATGAAAAGAAGTATAAAGAAAGACAGTGGTTATACAATACACATGCTCCAACATTGACATATGATTATGATGTCTAATTTGATGACGTCAAAGAGAAATTTATCATTTTCGTGTAAAGGAGCAAATTCTTAAATTTGATTTATCAAGTTAATCATTCAAGAAACCCAACTAAAACACATTATTATACAAAATATGACCAAAATTACATGATGGAATTAATGATGATAATTTTGATATTGGCATTAATTGATTTTCATTTATCCTGATATGTTTTTCTTTCTTACACAGGGGATGGCAAGGTCTGTTAGCTTTTGGTTGTCAGAATTATGTCAACATAGTTGACCCTAAAACATTACAGGTAGGCTTATATAATATGGAAAAAAATATTACAAACATACTATCTATCACAGGCCTTCTCAAATGGCTGCCCCCGACGCCCTCAAGAGTGTCCCGCGGACATTGCTACAAAAAAATGAAAAAAATTATAATAATAAAAAAAAATTATACAGAGAATACAGACTACAGAGCCAAAGATGAAAGTAACAGGAACCTGGATTTAGAGAAAATGTTGATTAAAGACTTAATCCTGGAATTTTATCAGCGATTTGAAGTTTTTAACAATAGCTATGCACTACTCATGATGGTCAAGAATCCGATTATTGTCGAGCCACAGGGTCCATGGAATGCTCAGTTTTCAAATTGACATATTGACCTACAATCAGATAACGAAATAAAATACTTGCACCAATCTGAAACGACAGAAAACTTCTGGATATTTTTGTCACCCCGATTTCTTCACCTTAAATTAATAGGCATCAGAGTATGCAGCATGTTTGGCTCAACATGGCTATGCGAGTCGTTATTTCCCACATGAACATCGCAAAGAGCAAATCAAGAAGCAGTTTCTCACATGATCAGTCGGACCAGATTTTACGGATTGCTACTACTTCAATTACGCCGACTTCAAGAAACTCACCTTAGCTGTAGCATCTCACTATTTCAGCCACTTACCCTGTCATTATTTTGATTTGACCAATGTAATGCTATGCTTTTTTGATGCAAAACTGTGTAAAACCTTAGCCCCTGGACTCCACCCTCTAAAACGCTCCGCTCGCTTTGCTAGCTAGGCTCTATTTGGCCCTTCATTCATAATATGCATTTGACCCTTTACAAAAATTAATTGAGAAGGCCTGTACTATTACATAAATTATAGTATATTTCTGCTACTTTGTTTATTTGTTTATATTTTAGGTTATTCAAGTTCTTCAGAAACATAAATCTAATGTAGTGAAGGTCAGTGTCAATTTATGTAATTTTTTAAGATTTTTTTCCTTACAAAATATTGCTTAACACTTGATATTAAGTACCTGCAACAAAAGATTGGCATTGGCTAAATATAATGGTTGCTTTTTTTGATGTATGGGTTAATTACTTTCTGTATAGCAAAATTAAGATGTCTTACTTTTATATGAAAGAGTTTTTTTACGGTAATGTGAACCTTTATTTATGAAAGTTAATTGTAATATTTTTTACATGTGTTTTTCTTTAATTGATGCCTGATGATTGTGACTGTTTGTAGGTGAAATGGGGAAGAGAGAATTATCATCATGATGTAAACAGTCCTTATACATTACGTCTTGCTACTGCTGATACTAATGGTATCATTGTTGTGTGGGATGTGGCTCAAGGTCATGTTAAATCAGAATTCTCAGAAAATCATAAACCAGTTCAAGGTATGCTATTTTGCTGGAGAATAGCAGAAGTAATCTATGTGAATCAATATATGCATTATTTTGTAAAAAACATTCATAACAAATGACTTAATCTAAATATTGTTGTTTAAAACCCATATGACAGGATTTGATGTAATTAATCTTGCAATGAGACTTTACTAAGAACATTATTAAATTTATCAACATTTTTACAAACTAGTATCTGTTTCAATATATTCCAGATATAGAATGGCTGACGAATCAAGATGCTTCCAGAGATTTATTAGTTGCTCTTCATCCTCCATATTCATTGATATTATGGAATGCTGATACAGGAACAAGACTATGGAAAAAATCTTACACAGAACCTCTCCTTTCATTCTCCTTTGATCCATTTAATTCAAAAGATGTTGTTTGTAAGTGTTGTTTCTTTATACCATTCATCAAAATGGCTAAGTTCTTATCTGACTGAGAGCATAAACTGTATACTTTAGAGTTTACATAAGCAGAAATTTGGAATCATAAGCATAGGTGATGAAAATCTAAGACAAACATGTGTTCGAAAGTCTAAATACAAACTGACATATGAAATGATCTTTGTTTTGTAGTTTTGGGTCAAGATTGTATTGTATTTGTGGATGATTTTACTATCACTAAAACTCCTTCAAGTAATGGTAAAAAATATTATATTTCAAGTCCTTCTAGTCAAGGTATGTATTTAGTGGTATTAACATCTATTATATCTGGATACTAACTACCTATTTCTCTCAAAACTAGAAATTTAATGAGGGATGACTTTTAGACATGATAAGATTTGAATGACAAATTTCTGTACTATTTGGCTTTAAAATTGATAGAGCACTAGTTTGACTATATATAATGATTTTCACAATTTGTCTTCGAATTTTCACTGAAAGGATAATTGGAATGCTTAACTTTTAATCACCTTTTCCAAATCCTAACCGTCTTTCCTTGAGATTGTGTTTTTCTCATCTACACCCGTAACACTTGACTCAAGATAAGTTCTTGTTAATTGAACACATTTTTTTTTAGGTGGATCCAGTTCTAGTGCTACAGCCTCACAAGATAGAAAATCGTCTATGACATCATCATCTTCATCTAAAAATCTGGCCAAGAAAATGAGTCGTATCCTAATTGGTGAAGGAAAAGCAAGGTATTTTTGCAAGTTATTATGCAAGCGATTAGAACCCACAACCACCATTTATTAGAATTATCCAAGAGAGCAAAAACATAATATGTGTAGTTGATTATAGTTGACTTTTTTTTTGCAGTAAAACTGGAACAACTGAAGATGAATCAATACCATTGAATGAATGTTTACAACTATCTTACCACCGTTCTTGTAGACATCATATATTACTGTTATATTCTCGAGAATTATTGATATTAGATTTAGAAATCAATCAAACAGTTGGTATTATTGCTATGGATAGATCTAGCTATTCACCATTTCAACAGGTTAGACAATTTTTATATGCCCACATTATCATAATATGCAGAAAAGGCAACTGCACAAAATCAATGACAAACATGAACTGAATGCAATAGCCATTGGGGTTTTGTTTTAGGTTTCGGGGAAGGGAGGGTTTGATTCTCCCAAATGTACAGGCCTACTGTGGAGCAAACACTTTATTTAGAAATTAGGATTAAGGGTCTTGATATTGGGTTTTCTTCTGTTCTTATTCTGATCTGAAAGTAGAAAAAATAAGTATAGTATCTGTTATGTACTGATTGTTTTTAGTTTACTATGAACAATATTATCATTTAAGTTCTTATTTTTTGAATATGCAACTATCATTTTCTGCTTATAGACATGGGGGAATTTCTCTTGAAGGCTCTTATAGTGGGCATGAACTATCTTGCTTGCTCGATTGCTGGTTGTATTAAACGGGACAACAAAGGGTGCTATGCCTACATTATGATAAATATTTAGTCCTATAGGTCTTGCTGTATTCAATGTCTCAATCCAATGGGCTTCCCTAGATTGACGGAATTTGGTAGTTTCATTTTCGGGCAAGTCAATTTCTATACGCTCAATTGGGATTAGGGCGAGATCGTCTATTGAATGGTCGTCGAGGTTGACATGATTAGAAACAGGCTTGTCTTTCTTTAATTTGATGTCTGACCTATGAGCATTAAAGCGAGTT